TTACAAGAGGTTCTCCTACGATGAGCCTCCACAAAAAAAACTGAGGATGGTGGCGAATTCGCAGGGTAGGACGAGAATGAGGAAGAAGACAAATGAGGGAAGGATAACGAATAACGTTATTGCAACGACTATGCCAGAGAAAACAACACCGAGTTGTCGCTACATGTTCCGCCCTTATTGCCGTCCTGCCTGTTGGCCGCTGCGCGCGCGTGCTTGGGTTGGCGCGGCCGCAAAGATGCACCAGCCAACGCCAAGCACTCATCGCAATCGCCACCGCATGGGTTTTGCAAACCAAGTTGCGGGTGGGTGGGTGGGATGCTTGCAGGAGTATGGGATGTGTCAACTCGTTTGTTGAAATCAGCTGCACCACATCGATTGCGCTGCATAGGTAGCACAACATAGGTTTCACCACGTGGCACGCACAACATTTATGGTACCGCAGAAATTGCACTCACCTAGCTTGCACCACACAGATTGCAAAACACGGGTTCCACATCGATTGCACCGCCTAAATTGCTAGAAACGCACTGGTTGGGGTCCACGGGGATAGCAACTGCACTTATTGTGTATGAAACTTCCAAACTTGGAAACAATCAAATCCAATGTATGGTTAAAAATCCGAAGTTTGGGAGTTGAAGCGACAGTGACCCCAACCGGGAAATCGCTTCCACTTTCGGATCGTGTCGTGCGTGCGGGCGAGGCGAAGCTGCGAGAGCTCCATCCTTAGTAGAGGCCATCTATTGCCAAAAGGGCCGCCCCCCGAGCGCCAGGCGTGGTCCCTGGTTGTCCCGGCGGTTGTCCCAGCGGTTGTCCCGATGGGTGGGGTACCCCTCGGGGCTGTGGGGAAGCTGTCCCGGGGCCCTCTGGGACCGTCTTGGGGGCCCCCTGGACAGTCGAGGGCCCCTCTTGAGCCGTCTTGGAGGCCTCTTGGAACTCTCTCTGGCCGTCTTGGGGCGATCTGGTCGGCTCCTGGGGCCGTCTTCGACGCGGTCGAGTCCGAAGCGGTGAATCCGCCGATCCGGCGTGTGAGTTTCTGAGAGCGTGGGCTTGAGCTCGGTCAAGCTTCGCTCTGCGGGGGGGGGGGGGGGGGGGGAGCCTCATTTCCACCTAATTCCCGACCTTATTCAGTGCTTCGCGGGACCTCATTTCCGAACTAATCCGCCCTAATTCAGTGCTTGCCCCCCCCCCCCAGAGCGGACCCCCCCATCCCTTGCAGAACGCTCCCTCCCCCTTCCTGCACCCAGCCCCCCCGGCCACTCCCCCCCCCTGCGAGCGGACCCGCCCTGCGCAGAGCGACCCGTCCCCCACTGCCCCCCCCCCCCCCCCCGCCCTGCAGACACCCCCCCCCCCCGGCAGAGTGAACCGCCTCCCTGCATCCCAAGCCCAGCCCCCCCCTGCAGAGCGGATCCCCCCCTCCTCCCCTGCTCTCCCCCCCCCTCTGGCAGAGCACCCGCCTCGGTGCAGCCCCCCCTCCTCTCCAGACGACCCCCGGACCACCCCTCTCCCCTGCAGTCCCTCCCTCTGCCGAGCGGACTCCCCCTGCAGAGCAGACCCCCTCCCCTGCCCTCTCCCCTGGAGTCCCTCCCATTGCCGAGCGGACCCCCCCTGCAGAGCAGACCCTCCCCCTGCAACCCAGCTCCCCCCCCGTCGTCGTCGTCGTCGTTGTCGTCGCGTCGTCGTAGGGGTAGGGGGTCCGTCCGTCCTTCGGCGTCGTCGTCCGTCGTCGTCGTCGTCCGTCGTCGTCGTCGTCGGTCCGTCGTCGTCCGTCGTCGTCCGCGTCGTCGTCGTCGTCGTCGTCGTCGTCGTCGTCGTCGTCGTCGTCGTCGTCGTTGTCGTCGCGTCGTCGTCGTCGTCGTCGTCGTCGTCGTCGTCGCTCGCGTCATCGTCGTCCTCGTCGTCGTCGTCGCTCGCGTCCCCTGCAGAGCGGACCCCGCCCCTGCAGCCCCCCCCCCCACGGCAACAACGGAAGCGTCCCGTATCGGCGGCACTGGCCGGAGGCCACTACAATATAGTTTAAAAAATGTTTTCCAAAGGGAATGGGGCCATTGTTGTTTCTGGAAGCGCTCTTGGAAGTCCTCTTGAGGGACTCTTGGGCCGTCGTGGGAGCTCCCGGAGGCCGTCTTGGAGCCATCGTCGGCGTGTTGGAGCGACAATTTAGGGATTCTGGACCGTCGTGCGGGTTCCCAGAGGCCGTCTTGGAGCCATCTTCGGCGCCTTGGAACAACAGTTCGGGGATTCTGGGCCGTCTTGGACGTTCGGAGACCTCCTGGGACTCTTGGGTGGCGTTTCGGGGCTGTCTGGGTCTGTCTCGGGGGAGCCCAGAGGCCCCCCAGGGCCTTTTGGGCCTCCTGGACAGTCGAGGGCCACTCTCAAGCTGTCTTGGAGGCCTTTTGGAACTCTCTGTGGCCGTCTTGGGGCGATCTGATCGGCTCCTGGGGCCGTCTTCGACGCGGTCGACGCTGGAGCGGTGAATATTATAAAAATGCACGTTTTCCAACGCAAATGGAACACTTTTTGCTTCCGGAGGCGCTCTCGGGAGCCCTCTTAGGGGACTCTTGGGCCGTCGTGGGGGTTCCCGGAGGCCGTCTTGGAGCCAGCTTCGGCGTCTTGGAGCAACAGTTCGGGGATTCTGGGCAGTCTTGGACGTTTGGAGACCTCCTGGGACTCTCGGGTGGCGTTTCGGGGCTGTCTGGGCCTGTCCCCTGGGGGCCCCAGAGGCCCCCCCAACTGGGACCGTCTCAAGAAGGGCACCATCAGCGACGACGACGGCGACTCGGATTCAGCCGTCAGGAAGGTGCGGCAGTTTGAGGCCGACGAGAAGTTCGCGCAGACCCTCTCTGAGAGGGGTTAGCTCCAGTGGGGGCGCAGGCCCAGTGCACCAGGTAGCGTTGTAGATTCACCAGTGGTTCCCTCGAGATGCCTCAAGAGGAGCCACTCGCACGCGAGCTCGAGCGCGGGCGCGGGTCGCAGGAACCCGTTTCCATCGTTTCGTGCAGATGATAGCGACTAACTATCGAATTAGCGCAGCGTGCTGCGCAAGCAAAGCAACCCATCCTCTCCTCTCTCCCCTCGCCTCTCCTTTCCTCTCTATCTCTCCGACATTTCCTCCCCCTCCTCCTCCTCGTACTCCTCCTCCTTCTCCTCCTTCCTTTCCTCATCCTCCTACATTTTCTATCGGTAAGTCCAGACGCCCACTTGAGGTCCACCGAGATCAGCAGATTTACAAAGGGGCAAAACAGTTGAGGTCAGCCGAGAGTGCATCTGTACTCCTGAAAGTGCCCGATCCCGTGAGCTGGGGCCTGAAAGTACCGGATGCTCGTTTTTCTTCGGCGAAGCTGGGTCCCGCGGATGCCTGTAATCTGTAAGGTTGTCTGTAATATGTAATTTCCTCTGTAATATGTAATCTGTGAAACAGCTACAAAACCATATATAGATGGTTTTGTGTGGCTAATGAGAAATATCAGATTACAGATTTCAGAGACAAAAAGCAGATTACAGAATTTATCTGCAGTTTGCAGCTGCCGTTTTGGCCGACAAAGTTCGTGCGCCATCGAAATGTTTTTCTTCGGGCGCCGTCCCGCGCGCAGACCTGCGCGCCATGGGCAAGAGAGGCAAGTCCACGCCCGTGTCGAGCATCAGGGAGAAGCGGCCTCGTGCAGCTTCGGTCGCCAAAAAAGAAGATCCACAGCGAGATGGTCGGCTCCAGTAGCAACGAGACGCCAGACAGGGCCAAGCTCAAGATCCAGAGCATGATCCAGACGAGGACGACGCGAGCCCGAGCGACACGCCCTTGGCCGAGTACATGAAGCGCCCTGCAGCCGCCGTGAACAAGGAGCCGATCGTCAAGACCGACAAGCAGCCCGAGGTCAAGAAGGGGAAGGGGAGGGTCGAGGACGACACCGCTGGCGACGAGCTGCCCGAGCTGCCCAAGGCCATTATGAGGAGGGAGATGAAGAGGAGGAGGAGGAGGAGGAGGAGGAAGAAGGAGAGGAGAAAGAGGAGGGAGGAGGGGGGGGAGGAGGAAAAGGAGGCCCTCTTCGGCCATCTTGAAGCCATCTCGGGCCCTCTTGGGGCTCACTGAGGCTGCCTTGTGGGCCTCTTGGGCGTCCTCCGAACCCGGAAATCATGTTCCCGGAGAGGCTTCCGGGAACATGATTTCGAACGAGGCCCTCTTGGGCCTCCCTGAGGGCGTCTTGGGGGCCTCCTGGGCCGGCTTTGGGGCTTCTTGGGCCAACTCGGGGAGTTCCGTGAGCCCCACAGGCCGACCCTTTTGGGCCGTCTGGGGCCCTCTTGGGTCTCTCTTGGGCTGTGTTGGGGCTCCGCGGGGGCGTCTGGGGCACTGTGAAGACGAAGCCAGCGAGCATGCTGAAAATGTACGCTTTACGAAAGGAATGGGCCGATTTGTGCCTCTTGAAGGCCCTCTTGGGGCCCTCGTCGGCCATCTTCAAGCCATCTGGGGCCCTCTTGGGGCGCTCTTAGGCGTCTTCGGGGCCTCTTGAGGCTTTCTTGACCATCTGTACGGCCCGCGTGGCCTGTCGTGGGCAATTTGGAAGCGCCCCGGGGCAGTCCCGGGGGGTCTGTGACCCCCCAAAAGCTCCGGGGGGCGCCCATGGGGGATGATCAACGGCACCGGCCGGCCCCCCCCCCCTGGCCTACTCCGATAGATATATATATATATATATATATATATATATATACTAGAACCATCGCGCGCGCCTCGCGCGCGCTCAAGTTCTAGCTAGGCTACATGGTCGAACCCTTGGGGATCTTCACTTAGGATACTTCTTCTCCGGGCTTCCAAGAACCACGAAGACGGCCCAAATGGTTTCCAAGACTTCCTACGGTCCACCCACGGCGTCCTAAGACAGGCCCAAGAGGCACTTCGAGGGCCTTACTATTCGCCGCGGCTGGACGTATCCGGAGGAAGATGGAGGAAAAGGGGAAGAAAGGGTTCCCTGGGGGAGAAGAGGAGGATGAGGAGTTGGAGACGGTGGAGGAGGCCGCAGAGGAGGAGGAAGAGAAGGAGGAGGAGGAAGATGGAGAAGACGCGGAAATCTGATGTTCTTCTTTTGGCAAGTGGGAAGCCAGGTCAAAGAAGAGCCACCGACTACCGAATACATAATACGAGCTTCTGCGGAATTCAAGTGCAAGTCGGCCTGGCAATCTGACACGCCTGTGCGCGAGTGTCATGACAGACAATCAGACATTAAAAGCGAACAGGAAACGAATCCGAGGAGTGGGGAGCAAACATGCAAACGCGCCATCCACGTCCAAGGTGCGTTGGACAGAATAGGTGACGCAACTCGTGGTAGCGTTCCTTAAGGCACTGTACGTTACAAACAGACCAGGAGGAGGAAGAGGAGGGGTGGAGGAGGAGGAGGAGCTGTAATCGATAATGATTGCAAGCTGGAGAATTTTGCGCGGATGCACCATGCCAGCCCGCCTTGCTGTCACATCTGGCGTAGGGCGTCTGTGCCGCCAAATGCTTCACACGCCATGCTGAACGCACAACGTGTCCAAGAACATCCACCTGTGAGGAGCGTGGGGGGGAGAAAAAACAAACCCTGAATATGAATAAAGATTGCTGAACCGATTTGCGCGGATGCGCTATGCCAGCCCGCTTTGCTGCCATACCTGGCGAAGGGCACCTTCGACGCCAGCAGCTTCGCATTCCATGCCGAAAGCACACCGTGTGCAAGAACATTCACCTGAGAGGGGTGTGGGGAGGAGTAGAAGCAAGTCCTGAGCATGAATAAATATTGTTGGGCTGTTCGCAGGCGGACGTCACCTACAACTCAGCCTGCCAGCCTGACACGCCTTGGCGCGAGGGGCACACCGATTGACGCGCTGATGGACCTTCGCTGCTGAACACTCAATAGTGAAGGCAAGGGAAAGACGGGGAGGAAGCAGAAGGAGGGAGCACGGAACAGGAGGGAGGAAGAAGAGCCACCAGCTTCTCAATATCAGCATGCTGAGCTGTGCGCAAGCGGAGCTCACCGGCAAATCTGCCCGAGTGCTTCTGTGTTGCTTTCGCTGGGCAAAGGCAGCGCCGTCCAGGGCATCGTGGGGACACCTTACTCCCCAAATGGTGCCTTGCACCAAGAGAATCTTACTCGTCTCCCTGAACGTTCGGCTTGCATTTCCTCACGTGCGCTCGGAAGGCGCCCGTACTGCCCGAGCAGCTCTTCTCCTGAAAGCCCGCTCCCCCGCTGCTGCCGGTCCTCAAGATTCCGTTTTGAGCATTGACATGTGCATTGCACCGCAAAGAGTGTATCCTCTAGCCCTAGAGAACCCACTGTTTTGAGTCTTCACAAGCTGTAAACGCCGCGCTGTTCCATATCCAGCTGCCCTGACGCACCTCGCAGAAGGCCACAACCACCAGACATGTGAAACAACTAGTGGCACTGGACCGCGATACGACGAGGGGCGAAGACGCAATACCTGAAGCAAATAGGGCGCCGTGTCAAAGCTACGCAACGGCCAGAAAAGGAACAACTGGATCACTGGCAACAGGCGCTGCGATTTTGCCGCGCTGGCTCCAACGTCTGAACAGATGGTTAACCTGCGCGTGCATCTGAACTATCTATGGGTCGACAGCTGAACGTCAAGCGTCTCGGTCTGGAGCGAAAAAAACACGCGGAACACATCAAATGAGCCTGATGTGGGAAGGTTTGGCAACTCCCCTGGGCCTGGTCTGCAGAAGCCAGACCCATCATGCCGTACAGAGCGAGGAGGCGAACCAGCGTCGCAATGTCTGTTAGACTCGGAGCGCAGAAATAGGCAGCGGAACCCTCCACTGCAGAAGGAATCGGAGATCTCTGCCATGGTATGGCAGAGACCTCCTGTTCTCACATTTAGGTATTCGGGCGGTGCAGCGGGCCGTATGTCCCCATTCCCCTCCCACATTGACGACGAGGGCTCCGAAAGACCAGCGCGCCAACAAGTGAACGCACGTGCCTCGAAAATTGCACAGTCAAGTGGAAGCGTTGAAGTCAACACATCATGACTTGCCTTGTCCAGCGGTTCTCTCGACCGACCTAGCTGCTCGGGCGCGGCCAGCGATTTGACACCTGCGGCTCATCTCAGCCGAACGGGCCGCGGGGCAGATCCACGGACTGGGATACGGTGGGGGGTTTTCATGGGTCTTGCATGTAGGTCACGGCGAGCCTCACGTTCGCCTTGGCCGTGCGCCTCAGGGCCTGCATCGTCTCGGAATACATTTCGGTCAACGCCTCCGCGATGTGCAGTTCGGCGTCTATCAAAGCATGGCGACACACACCCGCGTCCGGCGGCAGGCTCATCAGCACGCGCTCGCAATGCCTGGTAGCCTCCATCCGGGACTCTTCCACGGCCTGGCCAACCGCCTGCCCAATGATCTGCTCCAACTTCTCGGGAATGGTCCACAACCGCCTCACCAGCTCGTGGCCATCGGGGGTCATGCTCTTGAACATCTGCACGATGGCGCTCCGCTTCAGCCGCATCGCCAGCCGCATAGCGCCGCTCGTCCCCATGACCTTCGAGTCAAACGACCTCCTGATGACCTCTGGGATTTTGCCGAGATGACTGACGGCCGCATCAACGCCATCTTCGCCCCCACCCCTGCTGCGAATGGCCTTTTGCACTAAAGCCAGCTCGGTCTTCACGCTCTCGGCAAGGCTCTTAGCCTTGTTCCGCACCACTCTGCCCAACTGCTCGGGGATATCGTCCATTGCCTCCGCGGCGGCTGACAAGCGCCACTTGTCGAGGCTGTAACTCGTGGTCTCCTCCTGGCTGTTCGATACCCAAGCCTCTCCCATGCGCGTCGATACCCAAGCAGTGCTGACGTGGTCGGCGTCGAAGAACGCGCTGTGACTGGAAGAAGACTCGCTGCAGAGTTCGCTGGACCGGGAAAGACTGCGTGAGCCCTGGCGCTTGACGTCGCACATCTCGACGAACGTGTCCCTTGTCGCCACGACCTCGAGACCATGCTTCGTGGGCGCCGTGGCGAAGATGCCACTCGTCATGGCCATGAGCTGGGCCCCGTGCGTGGCAGCCGAAAATGAAGTGCTGTTCTTGAGCACAGCTTGGCCCGAGCCAAAATGTCTTGAGCCGAAATGGCTGAGGAGGGGCCTCTTGGACCGTCTTGGGGCCCTCTTGGGCCGGTATTGGGGCTCTGGGGCCATCTTGGAGCGTCGGAAGCCCATAACGCGAGAACGCGAAAAGCAGTGAAAAACACGAGGACAATCACTGATGTTTGCCTCGTTGGACCCTCTTGAGGGTCCTCTTGGAGCGCCCTTGGGGCCTCTTTGGCGCCTCTTGGGCAGTCTTGGAGCCATCTTGCGCGTCTTGGAGCGCTCTTGGGCTGTCTTGGAAGCCTTTTTCGGCCCTATTGAGCGCGTTCTGGAACCCTCTTGTCCCGTCTTGGGGCCCCCTTGGCCTTTTTCCGGGCCGCCTCTGGGAAGTGAACTGAAAAAGTGTTTCCGGATGGTTACAAACTAGGTCAGTCCGCGGGGGGGTGTCTATCGATTTGTTATGTATAATTCATTGTTTGTGATTTACTTGCTTTGTTTTCCATCTATATGTATATATATACATATATATGGAGGTCTCTGTATGTGTATATATAGATATGTATATGTATATGTATATATATATATGTACTAGAACCATTCGCGCGCGCTACGCGCGCGCTCAGGTTCTAGTCCTGGACGTTTCGTGCGTGGCTTTGGGCTCCACAACGAAAGTCCAGAGCGAGCGGTCGTCGCCAGTAACACCAAGGGTGGTGCGATCTTGACGCCGCCCGATGCCACCCGGATATTTCGCAAGTTTGCCCCAAAGGTAGGCGGTATGATGAGTGAAAGACAACGAACGGGAAACGTCGAAAATGCCAGGGAAACGACGTTGGTATGCGAGTGCGGCGAACGTGCGAGAACGGATCTGGCGGGAAGCCTGACGATCGCCACCAAACAACACAGTCTTACCGCCCATGGGACGGTCGACCCCAGTGATATCACGTAAGCACGCATCCACGGCAAGGACAACTGATTTACTTGCCGTTGGTGCTTCGTCCCACACAATCAATGAGCACTCTCTAAGAAGGCGTGCTGAAGCACTCCCAGCGTTGATATTGCACCTGCAACCCTCAAGGGGGACAGGAACGGGCAAACGAAAGCGCGAATGGGCAGTCCTTCCGCCAGGCAAAAGGAGAGCAGCCAGACCTGACATGGCAACAGCAAGTGCAATTTTACCATGTCCGCGGACATGGTGTAGAAGCTTCTTGTACAAGTGGGTTTTGCCAGTGCCAGCCGGTCCGTCGACGAAAAATATAGCCGGAGCGTCGCCGCCATCTCCGCGCAGCGCACTGTAAGCGACATCATCGAATGCAGTCTGTTGTTCGTCGTTCAGCGGGTACAGTTCAGATTGGCGCAGTTCTCGCTCCTGCTCTTCTTGCGTGCGCAATTCGGTGCGGTATTCTCTTCCGAATCGTTCGTCGATTGCAGGTTGCGCTGGGCACTCCATCTCTGGAATGCGGAACTTGTCAAGGCTGAGGTGGTAGGTTGACAGGACTGCGTCGATCATTTGACGGAGAAGCGCCTCGTCGAGACAAGTCTCATGCTCATTCACGATCTGCAAAAAGAGCCGCCAAAGTTCTGGAGGATCCGTAACCTCGAGCCAGACCAACGTCTCAGCAAATAATTCTGCCAGTTTACGGGTGTTCGTGAGTACCGAAGCGGCTTCACGGAGCATGGCAACGGTTTCAGAATCGTCGTGGAGCAATTGTAAATGACGGCATAGGCCCTGGTGCGTTTTAGGTTCTCCTGGAGTGACAGCATGCTTGAGATCTTCCCAGCAAGTGGCGCTCGCACCTCGCACGTGGAGCAGCAAGAGGCGGAGGTAATACAACTCTCCTGCAACAGGTTTCACGTGGCACACGCGAGCAATGACTTGGTTTTTCTTGGGATTTCGTTGTCGTGGCTTCCATTGGCAGGTTTTCGTTTCCCATAAGAAGTGTTGTGGAATCTCGTTATATCGTAGTTTGGCGATTATTGCTGCAAGTTTCGGGTGCAATTCGGCGGCTGTCGCGTTTAGATCAAACCATGCCTCTAGTTTAGTCCGTTTCGTCGACCATTGCGCTATCGCCTCAGCCTCGGACCCTTCGCGGTACATGATTTCCTGTTGACGCTCGAGATGTACTGGCAACCGTTCAATCACATGTGATTTCGCGTGCAAAGGGTACCGGAGCAGGCGCCAAGCCGCTTCAGGAGCTCCTACGTACCTGCCCTCGACGAAATCAGAGACCTCGTCCACCACGCGGTCAAGACAGGCCCTGTCCGGACCTTTATAAGTATATTTGTATAAATCCGCCACGTCGCGGGGAAGGGAGGGCGGAGAGGGAGCAGAAGGGACTAAATATTGCAAAAGGAAAGGTGCAGGACATGTGTAACAAAGTGGAAAAATAAGATGAGGTTATGAAGAAAGTGGAGCGTCAATGAATGGATAATGACACCGTGACCTAGAGCGTGGCGGAAGTTGCCAGAGGCAGTTGGATACTTGACGGCCTTTAGAGTAGTACACACTTCCACATTAAGGTGGCACTCAAGTTCTTCCAGCAACTGAGGATTGTAAGGCACCACGCTACGATTGTCTAAAACGTCCCGTTTTGCTGTTCGGATTGGATGCGTTTGCCGACGGCGGTACGCAGGGTACCCGTTTATGTTGACCTCTGTTTGTGTACGCCACGGTTTGGGGTAACGACGAGTGCAGACACCTTTGTCCATGCAAGGGCACTTTGGGTTGAGGGCCCCGCAGGGCCCATGCATCATGTGAGTGTCGACGAGAGCATACAAGCCTGGTTGCGTTTCCCTGTCTGGGATCTCGGCGCAAACTACCCGGTCCACTTGGGCTGGAGTAGTAGGTTTGTCACAATCCCTGACCACGAGCAGCAAATGACAATGCGGTAGGCCTCGTTTTTGAAACTCTATGACGTACGTATACGCTACAACGACGCCTAGGATGTGTTTCTGCGTCAGTTGGGTCATGAGAATTCCGAGTTTTGCATGGAAGACTCTGGACACCAAGTCAGGTCTATCGTTTGAAAACTCACCGGGGCGCAGGTTCGTCTGGATCTCCGACCAGTTCGGGTTGGCTGTCATTGTAATGAAATCCGCCACTCGTTGACCGAGTGTGTGAGCGAGAAGTAGCGGTAGCCTGGGAGTGCGAAGAGGAGGCCTCGCAAGAGGAAGTCAAGCAAAAAGGGACAACCGACCGAGAAGCGCGGGAGTGGACGGGAGCCTCGTCTTCTCTAAAGGTGCAGTGCGACATCTAATATGTTTTGTATGTCTGCGGCCAGGCCGTGCTCAACGGAACGCGGGAGCGTGATGTATAATCTGGCCTACCGAAGCGGGCCACCAATGACATTGCATCAAGGTAGAGCTGGTGCAACTGACGAGGGCTGCCTCCGAACGTCGCGGGGAGAATTATTGGTTTACCAATCCTGGTAACCTGGGCCACGCTTCCGCTTGGAAGTTTGTCGGACTGCGTTGGCGGTGAAATGTGTTCCCCGACAGGGCAACGAAGATCGTTGCACCCAGCTATGTAATCTAAGAGGCCTTGTAGCGACTCGGAACGGAGCCGATCCTGGTTCCGGACAATCCAATCGAGCCGTTCTGATTCCACCTTGCAATACGCATCCACTATAAACTGTTGAAAAAGCCGGCCACCAGCATGAGGCAACTCAACAACGCCTTCGTCGGCATGGAATCTTTGCATGACACGGTGGGAGTAAAACTCTGCCAGGGATATGCGTCGTGTCAGCGCTGAGGCGTCCCTCACGGAACAGCCTCGCAAACTCCGACTGGCGCCCAGCACGCCATTCAAGTGGAGCAGAGGGTAAGTGAGAGGATCAACGAATTCAGAAAGGTATGACAGCTCGTGTGTGCCTGAATACTCGTCGCTGTCGCTGCGCGCATAGATCGTAATGTAGTGCGGCGGGGGTGGGCCCGCACCCACGATAATACACGATACCTCTGCAGAAGACGGTTCGTTGTAAGTTCGGGGGTCCTTATCTGTCCCCCCGCAGAAGCGCAAGGCGTACTTGGGCACCTCTAGTTCGACACCCCCTCTGGAGCTGGACTCCTGGAGCGTAATTTGTTCGTGCATGTGGCGCAGATGTCCTGGATATGGGTTCCGCGGACAGGGCCTGCCAGTGACAGTGCCAGTCCACATGTCGCGAGGAACGCACGGCTCCACCAATGTATCGTGGAGGAGACGAAGTACATCACTATCGAGGTCTTGGAAGTACGACTTACGTTGCAAGGTCGCCTCCAACGGGTCGAAAATGTAGAGCTGGGAGTAGGTAGGCTTTTTCCCCTCGTTGGGATACAGGGGGCCACCAACATGGTACGCTCGCCCATGTAGCACGTACGTGTACGGTCCTCTGCCATCAGACACGTATGAACGACGCGATCGATCACCGTTCGTTTCAGGAGGGCTGCTTTCCTTGGAGGACTCGCAGAAGGAAACGAAACCCAAGGCGCAGTTGTATTGACGTATACATTGTGCGAAATGTTTGTGGCGTTTCGCAAGGGGAGTCACATCCACGCTTGAGGGTGCTCCTCGTTTCATTCCTGCAGACACGTCGCCGTACGACGTGAACGGGTGATACGGCAGGGATCTTTCAGCAGCCGGAAGGCCAGTCAACAGGGTGGCATACTGTGGGGGGGCAGGAGGTAGCAGGGGAATGAATCGGAACTTGCCCTGGTTGCAACATTTTGTGAACGTTTTCCCGCTGTCCTTCGTTGAAACAGTTTCGGGCGCGAAATAAAGAGCGCGGCAGTGACGACAGCGTTCTGTAAACCTCCCAGTTTCTGAAAGACGGGCTCGCTTGACGAAGGAATCGGGATACTCGTCGAGAGTGAAAGAAGCCGCTGCGAGCATGCCCGTACGGCACGCTGCGTTTGAAGAGGCACCATCGGGCGGAAACCACCGAGCATGTGTTTTGCACAAGGTGTGAGATTTCCCGTTCCACGTGCGTCGCGCTCTGCCCTGCATGGAACACCATGGAATGGCACAGTGAGCGCGACATTTCCGCCGACCTCTCCGAGGAGGTCTCAAGAAGACTGCCGATCGCATCACGCGGGGCGGTCCAGTAACGTTTGTTTTTCCCGCGGCCCTAAGAGG